ATTAAATCAGAATCTAATCAGAAAAAGGTTTAGGAAATTCATCCAAAATTGGGCCTTCTAGAAACTAAGTGTTTTGTGGCTGATTTTGGGTGTTCTAGAAGGCATAAAAGGGGGAAAGGTGCGGCACCCTTTTAGGGTCAGATAAGGCTTCTAGAAATTAGGTTTTTAGGTCCACTTGCAGCTAGGATTAAGGTGGAACAAGATTAGGTTAGGATAAGATAGGATAAGGTTTGGATAAGATAAGGTTGTTAGGATAAGTTTCCATATTTCTTGCTCTTTCCTTATCTTCTTTGTCTTGAACTTTCCTTTTTTGATTTGTAGCATGTTCCTAGCCACTTTTGACTCCAAATTCGTCCATCCACCTTGCTCCATATACAAGCTATCCAAAATAAGCCTAAAACTGCTCTAAAAGGCTCAAAATTGCCTTTTCTTGCCAACTTTGTCATTAGGACCTACAAACAAACGAAAATAGCTTAAAACACTATAATAAGTAGTAATTAGCTCACTAAATGCAAGGAAATAACATAACTAAGTAGCATACATATGCTCCTATCAATAGGTTCAAAATCGATCTTATTATGGAAGATAACATGAATTAGCACAATTTCCTCATGATATGAAGGCACGCCGAAAATATACTTCGTATTTCTTGCCATACTTTGGTAATAGAGGATGGATATGAGGATCCTTTCATGGTGTCGCCGACTTTGAAAAATTTGGTCGGCGAGACAAAAAGATTTAAGCTCTCTTTTAGGAATCAAAATACTGACTTTGGGAAGACGAACTTCATCATTCATGGACTACTTAAAGAATAGCTGCCCTCGAACCAATTGCCTCAGTCAAACCATAAACGTTTGCTGCCACCGTAGGAAAACAAATTATGAATGAAGTGACCCCCGCCCCATTGATGCCTTCCCGGCGACTAGATCAACAACCCCATTCAGTTGCACCTACCAAGACTTCGAAGAGAACGTTGTTCTTTATCAAGCTGACAAATCTAACAAGTAAAGTTTTCCTCTCGATTAATGTTCTCACGTGTAAATCTTAATAAATGTGCTTGCTTATCTTGGTTATACATATATGTTTTGCCGCTTAAGAAAAATTGTTGGCCAATCTTTTCGCACCACTCTTTCACACTCTTTTCCATGGCTATCACGTTTCTCTATGACCTTATATATTGTACCTTCATTCACAGCTAAAAACCTCGCAATGAGCAAATAGAGACAACCAATTTTGTTAGAATTGCTAGAGAATTCCACAATTTGGTTGTCCCTAAGATTGAGCCTGCCAACAAAGAGTCGATAGCCGCACTCATAACAAAGTCTCAAGCCAACAATACCAAAGATAGGTAAATTACAATTTGTTTTTTGTACGCACACCTACATAATATATGTCGTACCGGTGTTTGTTAAACTATGATTTATATTTTTTTGCTATAGTACGGAAGATGTTCGCTCACAGAAAAAATGAATGACCACAGTCTCCGTGATCAGCTGCTACAAAGGCGTTCTCCATGTTTTTGACTTTGAACATATGTGCTTGAAAACTTACTTGCTGAAATGACAACACAACAATTTTTATGTTTTTTGTTATCTGCTGCAAGTGGTGCCTGGCCTGTAGGACATATATTTTGACACCTTAAGTGTAGGGGAAAAATATGTGTGGACTGCATCTTACTTCTGTTTCTTTTGTTTCTTATGGAAACAGGCGTCCTGCATATTTTTTGCTTTGAACATTAGTGCTTAAAAGCTTAGCTGTTGAAACAAGATCAAAACACTTATTATGTTGTTTGGTTTAATTGTTAAAACATGTGGCTGGCCTGCAAGACATATATTTTGCCATCTTAACTTCAAGGACAATATATGTGTAAAATGCATGTTGATTGTGTTCCTCAAGGAAACAGAGCATTTTTTTGCAACCACATCTTTTGTAATCAACTCGATTGAATGTATATAAAGTCAAGCTACTTTTCTTACTGACACCATTCACTCATCTATCCATTTGTTCATTCATGATTATGTTGAATTTTTTTCCAAGTTAAATGGGTCTTATTCAGGTAGTTAAGGCTGGTACATTCAAGTCCCACAGCATCGCACGGCCAATTTACTAGTTTAATCTGTACTAAAACTCAAAACACTCTGAAATACTGTTCATAAGCACAACGTGCTTCTTGTTTTACCCTTACTAAGTTTACATTATTACATTGTTGACACAGAGAAAAATGCCCTACACTCATCTCTTTCCTCCTGATTTCTTCCTGCCTGGTCATTGTCTTCTTTTCCAATTAAAAATCTTGTGCGACTCCTCCTCACCAAGCAACCTCTTTGCTCCAAATCTTTAAATTGAAATTCCTCTCTGATATGATTTTTACCACCTGCAAAAGTAGAGATAAAAACACTTAAAAAATACTTGCAAGAGTACAAGGTAATTGTAGTATAACAACTCAAGCAAGGTCTTTTCCACATGAATTGATTGAATAATTTCTATTTAAACTAATTCTTAATTAACTATTTAAAACAAAGTTTCAAAAATGTTGATTTTATGACCTAGAATATTAAAACGAATTTTAAATTAAAACAATTAAAGAAACCAATTTGAAAGGGAACAATCTAAGAAAATAATGATAAAAGGACACTAGGGTTCCGCCATTACCTTAACAATCTTATGTAGTTTTACCAATTACTTATGAATTACACATGCAACTTTGAAAGCTAGGTTTTCCTTATGCAAATTCTACTTGTGACATTCAAGTTATAACGTATATTAAACATGCAATTTGTCTGTGACATTCATATCAAATATAAACATGCATGACTCATTACGTTTTGTGAAAACCCTTTAAAAAACCATGCAACCCCTAAGACGTGACATTCGCCCTAGGTGAACTTACAACTATCAATCACAAGAAGTAATACACAATCCTCTGGTGGCATTCCGACCGAATTGTATCCGATTACTTATCTAAACATCTTAATGGTAGCTAAGCATTAAGATATAGAGATAGTTTAAACACAGTGATTAATAATTCAAAATATGCATACATAACATCATAAGCAATTAAATAAAGACTACATATTCAAGTTAAGACTCAAGGCATCGTCCTAGCAAATGGAAATTTGTTATGAACAACCATAAAGCAAAACATTATTAAGAACATGGATAAAAAACATCTTGTAAATAAACTTGAATCATCAAAGGGTCTCTAAGCCGAATTCTCCAAAGTAGTTCGTGTGTGCCTAATGGCTAAAAAGCCTTATTTATACTACTACAAAATAAAATCTTACATAGAAAAGGTTTTCTAAAAACTAGGAAACATGATAGAATAAGAGAATAAGATAACTAGGAAATAAAATGTTTCCTACTTGAACTGAAATTCAGACTTCTCAGAAAATCAGACTTTTGACCAACCAAATCAACTCCGATTTGGTCTTAAAACATCTCTTTTTAAAGTTTGAGATGTCCCTAACTAATCCTCAGTAGGAATCTTCCTCAAAATATGCCATCTTGACCTTCAAAATACCTAAAACATCCAGAAAACGTCAATTTGGGAAAGCTGTGCGTTGGACCTTCTTTTCTTTGCCACGGTCAAACCATTTGGTAGAAAAATCTGAAACTTTGATACAATCATTTTGAAAGACTCACGAACATCCTCCAATTAGAGTCACTCCAAAATTCATCCGTTTACTCACTTTTTGCTCAAGAGGAAGTTGAATGTCCTATATTGAAAATATAATCCAAAGTATCAAAATCTCACAAAATAATCAATAAATTAATACTAAGATTAGGGTAAAATATATAGTATAATATGGACTCATCAAGTCCCCACAAACTTAGCTTTTTGTGTGTCCTCAAGCAAAATAAAACTAAAAAAACAAATATAAAAACTAACAAACTAGAAACTTAAACAAAAATTAACTAAGACAAAATTTTCACCTTCAAGTTGCTAGCCATAGAAAACATCAAAATATTTTTTCAAAAGTTCTCACTAATCCCACTATAGAGTCTAAGTCATTTAGAATCAATTAGAAAAGAATTCATGAACTTCCTTTGGTGTAAAGTGAACCAACATAGTTAAAGAGACTCGACTAAAAACCCTTATCACTTGTCTTCTTTATTTGATACATACTAACTTGATATATATTTTCTTCTTCTTCTTCTTCTTTTTCTCTCTTTTTTTTTTCTTTCTTTTTTTTCAGATTTTTTTTTTTTTTTAGGAATAGCGGTGGTCGTGCAATGTACTTAAGCTTTCGATCCAACTGACCACCCTGCCTCATGTCAACATTCTACCATTTGATGCGAGAATCATTGTTGATTAGACAGGACTAGCCCGGTTACTAAGCAAAGTCTCGGGTGGAACAATTATTACTTTATTGATAACAACAAATAACTTTACTTTACTTAGAACAAAATTTTTTAAAAATTACTTAGACGAAAAGTAAGTTTTCCAATCTCACTCCCCACAAATCATGTTGGTGTGAATGTGCAAATTTTCAAAGTGTAACTCATGAATTAGTGTCTAAGCAACGATAAATGGAAAAAACTCTACTATGGGATTAACCTTCACTATGTCGTCAATTTGTTCGAACGTTTAAAATAAACTATGAATATTAACTTATAAAGAATGAAATTTTTTTTTAATTGACTCAAAAATTAAAAACCTAAAAATTCTTATTTTCCATCCCCAAACTTAAATCACACATTGTCCTCAAGGTGGGAAAATAAAACAAACATAATACAAAATAAGAAACAAAACAAAAACTAAAAAAAAAAAAAAAAAGAAAAAAAGAAAAAAATGGGAATGGACACACTGGGTTGGAAGACAGGACCTGGAGCTGGGGAAAGGCGCTAAACAAAACAGAAAAATAAGGCAGAAATCTGCCGGGCGCTGGGATCGAAGTCATGACGTGGGGGCAGGAAGAGGAATGCAGAAGGCCTCTGCCCACTCACGTGCGAGCACGGTCGAGCCCAACAGCAAGAAGGCTCTCTCCTTTTCTCTCAAACCTAAAATCAAAACCGAAACACCCAGCCCTCGTCGTTTCTACTCCTCGCGGTGGCTTCTCAGCCGAAACCCAGAAGCACCCCCTAAACGCCCTTGCAAACGGAGTTGCTGGCATACTGAAAATTTGAGAGTCCAAAAGGTAAACCCTCATCCGCATTTCTTTGATGTTGATCTGCACCGCTCAGTTCGAGAGACAAAATAACTCATCTGTGCGCAGGAAAACTCGAGTGACAGAGAACTGAAGCATCGATTTGTGGTTCTGATCTCCACGATTTTCAGATCCAAAAGGAAGGTAAATAGCCGACAACCCCCAAACTTGTATGTAAAACAATTATTTTATTAAAAAGTGAGAGAGAATGAGTGAAAGAGGGTCCAGCGGTATAGAGGTCAGAATTCAGACTCTAGTTCGCATTCCTTTTAAATTTCTGCACTTTAATGTTCATCTTGAATGCAAAGCTGTGATGAATGGATAGTTGAATGCGTTCTGAGGTGAGTGGATGAATGCTGCAGAATGCATGATTCAGCCGATTCCCGTATTTGATTCAAATTCAACCTGCATAAAATCACAAAATTAAAATTGCACTAGAATAAATTCCAAATAAAATACTTATTAACTAAAAAAAATTCTGTTTTTGTGTTTTTCAATTTTCTGAATTTTTTTTAATCTTTTTTAAAAAAAATATAAGGAAGAAAATAAAATAAACGCAAATCAGAAGAGAAGAGTTTGAAAAATTGGGTTGGCATACATTTCACATGTCTCAGTTCTCAGTTCTTAGACTCATAATGTTATAGCATACATACTATTCTTTTCTTCTTCTTTGTCTAAGAATTTCACATCAACAGCATCTCCCTATAACCAGCCTAACCTAGGAGCTTGGTTTTGATTCAAGCTTTCCGATGGTAATTGGACGATTCCTTCAACGCCCACCATCAAGTTAGTCTGAAACGATTCCTACCGTATTGACCTATTGCATCTCAAAATCTTCTTTAAATTTGTGATTTAATATAACTGGGCTTTAGATTTCGTGATTTTGTCTAATCCAATTTAACAAATAGATTCTTTATAATCTGAATTTAGAAAATTATTGTCATTCAAATTTGTTTTACATCTGATTCAGTTGGATTTAGGGGTTGTGTTTGAGTGTTTCCTGGCCTGAGTTGTATATAACGAACAAAAGAGTGAATTTTTGTGTCCTAAAGAGTATATCATGGTCATAGACACGAGTTTGATATTATCAAGTAAGATGCCGAGTCCTCTTGCATTCATATAATTACATTTGTGGGCTGCTTTTCTGGGTTTTTGTTGATTTGTTTGCCATCTTTTATATACAAGAAGAGATGATGACACCGCCACGAACATTATCAATTTATGCATGAAAACGTAACACTGGGGCCAATCTAACCATTTATTTTGAGCACATCACATCAGCAAAAAAATAAAACATATGACAGTGGGGTTTTTCCAAGTCAATTTTTGTTGGCATGTTGTTGTTCATGTATGTGTTGATTTGGTAAATGTAAGTGCTTTTGGCATTTTATGACAAAGACGAAGAAGAAGAATAGTATGTATGCTATAACATTATGAGTCTGAGAACTGAGACGTGTGAATTGTATGGAGGTAAGCAATAGTTATGTGAAACGTGTGAATTGTATTGAGGTAAGCAACAATTATGTGACTGTTTTTTTTGCTAAGAAGATTGTGTAACTTTTTGATATATTGTTCATTACAAAGAAAGTGTATTACATGAACTCTAACTATTTGACTTTGTTCCAAGCAATATTTAAAAATATTTAAAATTCATTTTGAGGAGTTTCTCATTTGCCAGTTGAAATCTGAATCTGATCAGGTCTGTCAGAAAATCATCCCGTACGCAACGGAGTGGATGCAAGTTTCTTGAATGCGCCTTTGATTGAGGCCCACTATCCTTGTTTGAACAACTTCACAGTCACAGTGACTGACTCACCAATCGTAAATTTCAGCTCAGCCATTGCCTTCTTTTTCACGACAATGGAATTCGTTGCTGAACAAGGCAAACACGCCCATGGTGGCTCTTCCACTCTGATCCTGGTCAGTTCAATTTTCTAGGTCATTGGTTACTCGTTTCTTTTGCCTGTTTGGTTGCTGAGAAAGTGCAGGAAATTTCAGCTCTTTAATTTAACTAAATCCTGGGTTTGCAGCCAGCTTTGTCAATTGGAAATGTGGGGCAGCTTGCAGTGGACCTTCTAGTTGCATCAATGAAAGCAGAGAGAGTTGGGTATTTGGACACTCCATTTGTGGTTCCTTGTGTCGGCAATGATGCCTATGGGCCTGTTCCTAATGGGGAGCTTGCTCTCCCTCTCGAAGGTTCTAACTCCCTTGCTTCTCTTTTAGCTTGTTTAGCTTGTTAGTTCAATTTTTTTATTGAATTTTCAATTGGGTATGCAGCTTATGATTCATCTTCCAATGCAATGTCTCTAATCCAACAAAGGTCCCCTGTTGTAAAGGTAAGCTGCACATTTGGGATTCCCATTTGATAGTAAATTGGAAAAAAGACCCCGAAAACTATAAGTTTCGTAGAAAAATACTTCAAGAGATCAATTGGAGATAAAATCGTCATGTATCCACTTGTCATCATCTAATATATTTCTAGTTATGAAGAGGGAAATGATAACCACACACCAAACAACATACAGGATTAAACTTGTAGTTGTGTGGTTATCATTTTCGTTGCGAAATTCCTTTGGTGTCACTATAAAGTTTTGAGTTTGAAGGGGTTTTCTCGAAGTGTAATCTTATCAAGGAATTGCATGTGAGATGCCCCTACTTTGAGTTGTTTTTGTCGTTTCAATTTTTTTGTTGTAGTGCTCTACTGTGGAATTGAAGGTTTTAAATTGGTAAATTCTAAACAGGGAAGGATGATTGAATTTGCTAAATGTGTGGCTGATTATGTTGCTGCTAGTGGAAAGAAGAATGTTGTTGTGCTCTCGAGCTTGGATTTTGGGAGGTGGCAGAGAGTTGATACGTCAAGGTATAAAGAGGATGGTTCTTGTTTATGTTGGCTGTTTTGAAATTTTGAAGTTCTTTTTAATGGGCATGAGATAGTTGTTAAGTCAGCTCACAGCCCAGACAACTAAGCATTTAACGCGCCTGGTTTAATAAATTCCTTAATATTTGTAATGCATCAACTAGGGAAGACAATATATAGAAATGTAACTGATTGGATGAGTTGTTAGTTTTTAGGCGGATATATTTCAATTCTCAACCCAATAAGCTCGGGAGTTGATTTAGGTAGTAGTTACATATTTGATATTCCAAAGGAAGAGAATGATAAATACTGATATATTATTAAGACTATTTAGTTACAAACATTTTTGAGCTCGTTTTGAACTAAAACTACTTTGTTCTTTCTCTCACTTTCTCACCCGCTCCCGTTTTCATATTATGTAACATTTACTAAATAGGGTTTGATTAATGATACTGGAGAAATTATTCTTCAGTTAAAGTTTATTTCAAAATAAAATTCCTAGATAATGTTACTTTTAAGAGTTGTACCAAGAACTTGGAACTGATCTGGAAACAAAACATTTCCACCTTTAAACATGCATATATAGTCTTAAAAGATAATAACTTGTTTTTGAACTCTGTCGTTTGGATAATGAATCAGTTGGGAACTTGGGATCAGGAAGCTTGGTGGCCTGTAGTTTCTGTTATGTGCTTCTTTGAAATGACAATTTATCTTTTCGTGACATACCAGTGGTTTGCAGATGCATTACCTGTCTAGCACCAATTCAGATGGAACAGATGATTATTGTGAACAGCTTGGGTGGAAAAGTCTGCAGGAATATAACCCCACTCAGAAGGCCTGGAAGTATCTCAATACATTAGCTGAGGGCAATGCTGTGCCGGAGGACATCTTGCCCTTTGAAGGCGAACTAGAAGAAGAAGAATATTACTACCCGAGCTTGCCATTCGCGGCACTTTTTTCTTGTCTCAAGGTATTCTCTGGGAAGCATACCTAATATCAAAATGTGAAAGTGGCCAATTGTTTCCAAACACAGGGAGTCCCCTATGTTATGGAATAATTGTGTCCATGCCTACTGATTGCCATCAATTCTTGTTGAATTGCTCACCCACACGTGGGAATCTTTAATTGTAAGACTCCTTGTTTTATTTTTACTTTTTCTGAATCAGGCCAAAGGATTGAAGGTTACCTGCTTATTATGCTACTGCTCAGAAGGAGACAACATACCTGATGCTTTCCATTTGGCCGAGGCAGCATGCAAACTTCTGCAATTAAATCCCAGTAATTTCCATGGTTAGTTTCTTTTCTTTGAATAGCTATATTATTTCGCTGATTAAAGGCTTTTGTTTGAGATGAAGTTTTGTCATGTCCATGTTCTTTCATTTTCTAAAGCCCTATTGTTTGTTTTGCTTGGTACTCTTTAAAGTCAAATGTAAGAACATTGTGTCTTAAGTCCTGTACGTTATCATCATTCTTCAAGGGAAATATAGCAATGGTTTTTTAGTCTGTTATTCTATGCCCTTTGCACAAATTGTGTGGTCGAGAATACTTTAGGCATAGATATTCGTATTATGTCCACGTCGACGTCCAGGAAGCCAATCATGATTTGTTTTCCTTAACGTCTTATCTTGTTGTTTCTTCCGATGGTTAGATTAGGTTATGGGCCAGTTCCCCTGCAATTGGGTAATATACTCTATCCCACATCAGATATAGGACAGGGAAATGTAGAGGAAAATGGATCGGGTGGATGGGGCGAGGATGGGATAACCATATTCCCAATAGGGCTGGGAAGCGAAATGCATGATCCTGATTTGCTATGTGTCGATCCCTTATAATTATTATTTTTTCCATTGCATCTCTTTTTCTCCCTTAAACCTGATTTGGTTAATGCATTCATGTTAGAGGTATACTCATCTTTATTGATGATTTTGCGCAGGCAACAATGATAAATGGGTCATTCCATGTTCTTGGAAGACTCTGTATGGACCACCGGCCGATATGTCCCTGTTTTAGGTAGTTTCCTTTGACCTGGGCATCTACAACACTGCAACGATGGGGTACCAACTTGTTTCGGCTCCCTTTTTCTGAGGCTCTTTTAAAAGTTTTCTTGGTAAAGAAAAGGATATGGGGTAAACTGCCATTTCCCCCTGAATCATCACTTCATTGTCAATTTCCCCCTCGAACTATTTTTTCAGTCTAATTCTTATCTGAAATGATTTATAAGTTTGATATTCTTATTTTGCATGTATAAGTTTCAAATGTTCAAACTTCAAGTGCGGATAGAAGATAAATTTCTTACGATGTTAAACTTCTTTAAGTGCACATAAAATTGCAAATCAATTTTTAATAGCATGATTCTTAAGCCAAATTCCTAACGAAAACACTTTTAACACTCAACAATGGGATATTGATTGGAGTAGGCTTCTTAGGCATCGACTGGATTTTTGCCTTGGGTTCATAAATTAATTGAAATTAAACAAAAAAAAAAAAAGGTTCGATTCTTACCTTAGTTGGAGGATTCTAACCTTTGAAAGTACTATTATTCTCAGCAGTATTAAATACATTTACGTATAATGTATAACATAATTCGATCCTTATCTTAGTTGGATACACAATCAGAACGAGTCAAATGGAATGATGTATGGTGCAGCTATCGCAACCATACATAATATATCACATAGTTCCATTTGCATAGGTGGGAGCACCGATTTTCAATTGGCAATTTGGCATTATATACGTCCATTAAGTTTTTGTTAATCTTGATTCACATCACATGAACCTTCTAAAATTATACTTGACAACTCAACTACTAGGAATTCGCTTGATTGTCAAACCACGATTAACATCCACCTTTTTTTAATTAGGCTTAATTTCTTAGGAATTGGCTCGTTTGCCGCAATAATGTATCAATATGGTCAAATTTTCTTTATTTAAATTAAAAATCGAGCTGATCGTGCTTGGTACAGGTACTGTAACACAAATCCTTTTAATAGTATAAAGCTTATATCCAACCAAATTTTTTTTAATGAAAATGGTTTGAGATAAGTTTTTTTTAACCACAACCATTATATAACTTTATTTAAAGAAAAAGACTTAAATTTTAATAAAAAAAGACTTAATTTTTAATGAAAATGACGAAAGTTTAATACAATAAAAAATAAAATAGAAAAAAAAAAGTAATAAAAAGCCAACGTGCAGGACCCGCGTGTTAGTCACACCACACACTATTTCTGAAACTGAATGATACTACACTATTTTTGAAGTTGAACAACACTACATTGTTTCTGAAACTTAATACTATTTTTGAAATTGAACACAAATCTATGTGCACTGACTATACCTAAAACCGAACATGGGTTGGCGTATAATGGAATTATCTTCAAACTGTCAAGCATTGCACCAATTAATCGCAAGAATGATCTTCAAACTCATGATTTTTATTTATTTATTTATTTTTTAAGTCCGAAGTTAACATTTCATTACCACAACAAAAAAACATTTAAAAATTGGGATCTGTTGTTAAATCGACGATGTGTGTGCAGTAGAATAAACAAGACATAAAATTTACGAGGTTCCTCTACAGTTAGTGTGATTGGAGTACGTCCTCGGGCAGCAGTGATGCTTTCATTATAATTTGGAATAATAGGAGTACAAAGATAACTCTATGTATTCTCTCCTCTCCTCTTCCTCTCTTTCTTTCTCTGCTCTATATTGAAAGCATACGGAGTGCTCTATTTATAGAGCAACTCCAAGCACACATCTTTGACAATATAATTTTTCTTCATCTCTCAAGTCAAGATTAATTTTATGGGCATTGAAAATCCACCCAATGTCTTCAGTTTCTATGTGGGCATTCAATACCCACTAGACTTTTCAACACTCCCCCTTGGATGCCCACATATCAACATGAGTTGCCTCGTTAAGATCTTGATCTATTTTTGGATGCTCCCCCTTGATGAGTATCTCCCCCTGATTTCAAATTATTTAGGCTGATCATTGATCCTGCTGCTTTAGTCTTTTAGCGGTGATAGTTGCCGAATGAGGTGTTTCACTTGTTGTTAACTTTTCACAGACTTGCTCTTGAACTGGGTTGGAGGGCCTTCTGCTAGACTTCCTTCAAAGGTGTGAATTTAGCTATTTTATCTGGAGCTAAATTTGATTCAAGGATGGTGGACACTTGATCTTGAATCAGACTTGTGATTTCTTCAAAGGCCGTCTAGACTTGATCTTGAATGCAATTGGATCATGAGGAGCTTCATGTGACAAGTGATCTTAGGCTTTGTCGGGGATGAACTGACATGTGTTTGTTGTGGTTGTCTCCACATGCTTCAATGTATCATTTTCACTTGCCTTACTTGCTCCCCTTGCAGAAGTGGTATTTTCCTTACGCAGGTTTGGCATCTTCTCTTGTAGTATTTGTCCTCTGATACAGAAGTGGAATGCAAACCTTGCATTTGAATGGACCATCACTTCTTGGTGGCAGCGAAAGTTTGAGTGGAGGTTCCGACATATTGTTTTCTCTGTCCTTGTCCTGGCAGGTAAGAATAAGGACAAAGGAAAGGACATGGAGATTGCATGATATGAGATACTCTTGCTCTCGTCCCTGATGATATGAGATACTCTTACTCTGGTGTGACTTGTTTGTAGAGGTATTCTCAGAGAGGAAGAAAACTGAGTATTTCGAGATACTTTGTGAAAGATGCATTCTCGGAGATGAGGAAGAGTTAGATATTTTTCAGTTTTGCCTTGCCATGGAGGACAGAGGTTGACATATATATGGATTTCCCAATAACAGGTAGTAGTGCTGTGCCTTTACTCTTGTCAACAACTGTGGTGTAATTAGAATAGTAAGATTCACGCGTTTTCAACTTTATCAGAGATCTTTGACAAAGTTGCACGTGATATCCAAGAGCTGAGATTGCGTCTGAGAAATGTTGACAGACGTCATGCAGGGAAATCCAGCTTTTGAAATTCGAAAATCGGTGTCTCTTCGATTTTTGAATAAGCAGTCATGTTGCCCCTCCTTTTATAGAGATATCAATTTTGTTCAGAAACACTTAGAAATTGTTGCCTGCAGAAATTTCCCTTTCTTGCACTTCTGAGATTTTATCTGACTTCCTTCATCATTTCTGAAAATGGCTTGCCCATTTAACATTTGCTTAGATTTAAGTCTCAAGATTGATACAGACGAGCAACGTCAGGATAACATATGGCGCCCATCCTTCTCATCTTCTAATGGTCCTCTTACGGTTGGGGACTCTGTGATGAAGAATAACATAACCGCTACAGTGGTAGCCAGAAATCTTCTCACTCCAAAGGATAACAGAATCCTTTCAAACTGGTCTGATGAGGTGGTCGTTCAAGACTCATTGGCTCTCAGTGTTCAATGTGCGGGCTCTGTATCCAATATGGGCCAGCGCCTACTTGCTCGAACTCACCAAGTTGAATCATTAATGGCTGAGGTTGCAAGTCTTAAACAAGATATTAGAGGGCTTAAGCATGAGAATAGAGTGTTACACATGCTTGCAAATAATTACTCTACGAGCATGAAAAGAAAGCTCGACCAGCTACTAGAATCCGAAGGTCGGACTCAACATGACAATCGGGGGTTTGAGTCTTTATTCCAAAGACATCCATTGTCTCAGCTGTCTGGAGTTCCATTAAGTATTGAGACTCCAAATAATCAACTTCTGGTGTCTTCCCCTTCTGGGGTACTTCCGAGTACTGAGGCTTCACATGAGCAACATTTGTGAAGGTTCCCTCCTATTTGTTTGTTTTAACTCATGTGTATGTAATTTCTCGGAGATATTAATATATAAGCTTTATTTCATTCAGTGTATTGTGTTAAATACAATAAAGCATATATTTCACTAAGATGTGGTACTTCTGGACCAAATATCAATTTATCTTTACCCTCGCGAAGATAAATGATCATTCTTAGTGTCTAAATCATTTGAGTATTCAACTCATGATCTTCAATCCATATGATTCTTTAATATCATAAACATCATGGATAAGATTCGTGTTGGCATATTGTTCGATTTTGCAGTTCGAGACAATATTTCTCTCAACACTTTATAATCTTTCTTGACTCTTCAGGAGTCCCAATTTAATATCATCAACTCTTGCAAGAGATTTTAGTATGGTGCAACAATACCATAACGAAAATACTCACTAAGGCAATTTGTATCATCTATTGGTATTGAGTACATATTTTATGGTTTACCCTTCCGGGGCTTTCTTTAAGCAATTTGAATCATTCAGGGATTTTCTACATTTCATGACACATTTTCCTTTAGAATTTATACAGAGAAATTCGCTTCCATGTATATTTGAGGGATTTACTTATGGAGATATGATGTGGGCGACTCATAACCCTTCGTATATAATTCTCCATTTATACGAACTCATTTCCAACCTTGTGTCATATCATGTGAGTGTATTTCACGGTATTACAAATACCCATATGTAACCTTCTAGGTTCAACATCTTTTGGCTATTTGTATGATATCCAAGTATATAGGTCTATTTTTCCACGTTCTTACAAACTTGTAATGGATTTGCCTTTATCCATTTTGGCCCATAATTTTGTTGATGGAAAAAGAACGGGACTCAATATCACCACAGCTCATTGATGAATTTAGTAGCTACTTGTAAAAACCAAAATTACCATTGGTTATCATCAATCTTTGATCCCGTATTCTCATGTGCATGCGCATGCATAAAAGCTTTTCATTTCTTTTGGGATATCCATTGCCTCTTCAAGGGCATTACACTATCTCTTCCAGGATAGTTATAATTTAGAGAATGCGGATCATAACCTCCTTTTGAGCGTTATAGAGCTTGGATTTTAATCTCCACTTTGGAAGTTGAGTCATTGGAACCTATACGTCTATCATGCTTCATGCATGAGACATCAATATTCCAATGTTCGCGGATTGACCTTTTTCGGGACAAGTATCCTTGCAACAACTGTCATGCGTCTGGCATGCGACAGTTATGCAATAGTTTAGTAATGCCATATTCTTCTTCTTTCGAAGGATTGAACCTTTTGAGTCTGGGGATCTGCCACGCTTCAGGCGTGTAACAGGTAAATCATTTGCTGCCATATTATTTTGTCCAACAGGGACATTAATTCTTGTAGGCACATTTGCAGCAAGTATATGTGATTTTATCACTTTCGTTTCATCATTAAATGCATCTAGCATTTGATTTGCATATCGTTGCATCATTCAATTATTCTC